ATAGTAACAAAAAAATATATATTTCGAAGATATGTGAAGTCCGCCAATCCGCAGTGGGGCCGCGGGGTGGACTATGCCCTCATACCCTCTATATAGAGGAAGCCTTTGCCCAGCAGTGGGACATGTATAGGTGTTATTTTCTTTACTGTTTTTATTTTTCGTAATTTTTCTATATTTGTGCTGTTAACTTTACTCTTAACCTGGCATTCTAGGTCAACCGGAAGTACCCTAGGTTTTGGATCGAAAACCTATATGGTAGTTCCCTTTAACCTTGAATCGTTTGTGTGTTAATGGCTATTATAGTATTAGTGATTATTTTAATGATAACATCTATGAAATTAATTGATCGCTCCAGGCTCTTTCAAGTGGAGTTTAATAGATTGTACACATATTTGTAATTTTGTGTCAAGTTAAAAAAAATGTCCCGCTGAATTTCTTACGCTGTTTCTTCTCAGGTTTTTTTTACTTACAATAAGTAAGTGTAATGCTTCTATATTGAATAAAGATATTTGACTTTGACTATGACAATAAGGGTTCCTTTTTTACCTTTTAAGGTACGGACCCCTAAAAAGCAGCAATCATTAGGGTGCAGTTGGCGTCGTTCGACATCTTCTGGGTCCAAGTGCGACCTTCGACTTTGCTCGGGGAAAATGAAACCTCATCCTCGTTTCCAATATTTTTATTTTTAAATTAGTGGCAGTGAAGTTTTATTGGGTGGGTCTCGTAGACATACGAACGTAAACCGACTCCTGCCTCTGTCGATGCCTGAACGGACACGGCGACCGCCGACGTCGAATCGTAGCCGCTATAAGCGTTGGAAGCCTCCGATACATCCGTTTTATTTTGGTTTATTTGGTACATAGAACAGCTTTACAATAACCTTACATACATTACAATAAACTTAACAATGAACTGAATAACAAAACAACTTATACACACTGTCCGCCAAAAATCATATATGTAAAATACATGCTCGGACATCATTATACAATATATAATAAATTAAACAATCATAAAGCATTCATTGGAGCGCAGTTTGCGTAAGAAATAGACTGAAATAATTTTGGTATATGAACATTCAAAGGTACACGATTTACAGCTACGTTAAAGTGTATATAGTAATTTTCTTTCAGAATTTGGAAGAATCCAGAATTACTTCACAACAGTGAAATTGGCGAATCAATGACATAATTATAAACAATGTCTATTAATTCGGCTAACGGCCTGTTGCAAACAATCTTCGGTTATAGTTAGTTAGATAGTTAGATATAGATATAGTAGTTAGTATAGTTAGACCTCATATTTGTTTAGATTCAGTACCCACGGCACACTTAGAAGCTTTTACCAACAATCAATTACATTGGTAATTTCCGTTCTCATTCTTGTAAAAAATTGATTATTTAATAACAAAAAATCCAAAAGAACTTAAACTTTTGCGATATCGCCGAATATAACAAAAAAAGTTACGCATACGTATCGGAGGCTTGCAAAGCGTTTTACACCATACAAACTTAATAATAGCCACAAAAATAACACGAGTAAACTTTGGCACAAGTGATTGCGCAAATTTCACAAACCTTAACATAGCGTTTAATCTTTTAACCTTTACCGACATGAAAAGCATGTACATGTAAAATTAATCGCAAACGCAAATCCATATACACACACACTGTCTATCGCTTAGGCTTACTTTATAAAAGTAATAAGCTGCGAAGACATATAAAGAGAAGAGACGTGAACGATTGCTTCGTTTATATTTTATTTAAATTTTACATTTGAAAGTTTGTGAAAAATGCGTCGCGTCAACACAACAATATTTATAAACGATTTGGCACATCACAAATGATTCCTAGGTGCTTTTGACTCAATTACATGACACTTTACTAATATATATATATATATAAATATGAATGTATATATTAACATTCTTACGTATTTCATTCAGTGTACGACGTGGATACGTCGCCAGGAAAACAAAGTGGGTTTGCGGGTGTGTCTTCACTATGAATAAGGAATTCGCTTTAAAAACAAGAAACCCAAACGAAAGTTTAGTCCGTATTAATTTATTTAGCTTACACCGTAGTTTACCTAAAAATTATGTATAATATACGAACCGGTCACCAGTGCGGTAACGAAATGGCGATAATTTTACGCGGGCACAACGGCTACGGCTTAGGCTCGTTTCACACCAAGACGAAACTGGCAGCGCAGCGGCGACTGTGTCGGATTCGCAGCATTTTGGATTTTATTTCTGTGCCAAGTTATATTGTATTGTTCGAGTGATAGGCAGCTCGCTGAGCCGTCCGCTCGTACCAGGCGTCTTAGTGTGAATCGCACCTTAAGGAACGAGCCGAACGAAACGTCCGTAAACGCTCTCAGTCTCAGACTATTCTCGATCAAAGCAGGTAGGAAGTGTTTGACACGCGACTCATACACGCCCTGATATTTGATGATACTTAAGGACAGCTGAGTAACAAGAAGTTGGAGTTGATAACGCGGAGTTAAAACGTTGAAATTTTGTCTAGAACTAACCTTTGTGGGAAAACGATAGTGTCGTTTCGTTTATGGGATATTGTTACTAAATGGAAAACGTTTCAGCGTACGAATGACGAAATGAAAAACGTAAAGTTTACTCTGAGTGTTGTACACGAGGTTAATAGATTGTCGCACATTGCTACACCATATTCAATCCGTTTATTATTGATCTCGTATTGAGTATCCGAATATCTGAAAGCAGTAGACGGTACACGTGTATGAAGACTTTCTACTACAGGAACGGGAGATTTCCCCGAATAAATGTTCCTAAAAGACGGCATTAGTTGCCGTATCAGCAAGTGTATTCGTCCCTGATCGCCCGTAGATGTAGTGGAAAAAATTTAAATGCGCGCCCACTTTGCACGATTCACACCATTCCGCAATATTCTACATTGCGAATTATCGTTCGTACCGTAACCGGTCACGTACCATCCCAAACGATTCAGTGACGCCAAACATTATCTCTATACAAGTAAAAATATTAAAACGGAACGTACCCTAGAACACTAGATACAATATATAATGTGCGTAACGGACGCTGACAGCACAATCTCGCTATCGATCTGTTGCAACGAGCGATCCAAAAACAAATCACGTGTCCAGGCGAAATATCGCTTCCGAATCGCAAAGCGATAGCACCGGTCTTTACGTTTACATTGACCGGTAGTACACTCGACATATCGAAAGGAAGACGAAACTATTATATATATCAAAAGATAGCTTTATTCGATTCGCTTTCGTGAAAAATTCCCCGTGACGCGCTCGCGATAAACATAAAGCGTTCATTTAGCGAAATTTGAAATACGGATGGCGAAAAGTTTCAGTTTTTTTGCGGTTTAGCGATGTACGGATATAGACTGACATTATTCAACACGGTTGAACGTTAATTACACCTAAAAATAAATGTTTCACGCTTGAACATAATAAGCATTAAATTACAATAATGTTTGTAAGATTGGTGCTCATGAAATATTTTACCCAACTTACCTAATATTTAGCTGATCTCGACATATCGTAAGCACAAGTACTTACGATAGTGACACTCGAACGTGATGACGACGGTACAACAGTAAAGTTTTAAACATTAACGTATTAGCTACATTCTAAGACACATTCGGTATTAAATGAAAAACAGTTGATGATCAAATTAAATACAACAAATGATTTCGATCGAAAATATTCCATGATACCGCTCCGTACAACATGCACCTTGCAAATTGCATCGGTTTTCCACAAAAAATTTACATGAACATTGAAATGCAATAACCCATTGCCTACATTTTATCACCAGATCCATCCTATCATAGCGAGGATTGTCACTTCGTTAAAAATAATAAAAATTCCTCCCATTGCATTGTTACTTCCCATACAATTCTCCGATATATCGTACATTAGAGCGTGAATGAATCACTTGTGTTGGTACTATACAAAAATTAAAAACATTGTACAATAATACTACGATATCATAGAGCTAATAAATACAAGAATCGACTTACCGCTACAAATACCCATTTGTCGTGGTGACACAATGCGATGTAGGTATAATCGTATTGTAATTACAACCTCTTTTATAACATTTAATTTATTAATTATTTATTAGTACAATTTATTATACCTATGTATTTTATAAATGTTATGTACTCTCTCTGAAACATCCCGACCGTATCGTTCCGCTCTAGACGTTATTTGTTCATGTGCTTCGAGCACCTTTCATCTCGAAAACTTGCCTATGGTTAAATAGTCAACCATAGAGCAGTGGTTCAGCTTAAAGTCTCTCCTTCATTCCTAACCAGCTTCTGAATATTCGCTGTATACTGGCATATCTCTATGTAATTGAAAACATGCGAAAAGCCGCTTCGAATAAGTGGTTCCACCCCATACCACGAAAATGCCGGTGTAATTATTTGCCAATGGTTACTGTTTATCATCGAGTGTGTTTCGCTTTCTGCCCACAATGGTGACAATTTTTTTCAACGCTTCAGCAATCGGATAAAACTAATATGACCTAACCATTAGGCCAACGTTAAATATGTGGTTAAGATTGTTCGATCGAGAAGGAAACCCTTTCACGGCGGGGTCGGAATAAATGTTACATTCCCGATTTTGTTAATTCCGTTAATTTGTCGCTAACACATGTATAATTTATTATTTATCTAAGAACATTGACGATGATTTCGACGTTTAAAACTGTTGATGTGCGTCGCATGATATCGAGTAAATACTTAATACGGTATTCCCTATGATAGGCGCCCGAGCGATGGGCCCTAGACAGTGTAGACCGTCGATCGATTCGCGCTCACACTTAGAAATCGATAGGATTCAGATTGTACCTATATTAATTCCGCTATTTATTAACTAAAGTAAGGCGCGGCTTATTCCGCCGCGTTTAATTTCATATAAGTCTCTAATCATGCACTGCCACTCGCGGTATGTGTCGGATTCAGAGCCGAAGACGACATGCGCTACCGAATTGGAAGTCGTCGCAGTCGAAAACCGTCCCCGGTAGGTTCTTGTGTCAGCGTTTCGGCATCTGTGCCGAGGCAACTCTCCTCGTGCGAGGGCGCGCGTGCTGCAGAGCGGGGGGAGGCGCGGAGTGCGGCGCTCAGCGCGCGGCGACGCGGGCCGCCCGGCAGAGCGCGAGGCGCAGCGCGGCGGCAGCGGCGGGCGCGGCGGCGCCGCACAGGCCCGATCAGAGTCGGTCCTCCTCCTCCTCCTCCTCCCCCTCGTCGCCGGCCTCCTCGTTCTCCTCCCGGTAGCCGGGGTGCTCGCTGATCGCGTACGTAGTTCCCGTTGTAGATGACGCCCAGCTCCCGCAGCGCGTCGCCGCGGATGGTCGCCTTGATCGTCCAGTTGTAGCAGTCATCCGACTCGGACTCCCGGTCGAGCCTCTCCACGTCGAGTATCTTGGAGCTCAGTCTTTCGAGGATGATGCCGATGTCCTTTATCGTGAGGTGCCGTTTCTGGTCCACGCTCAGCTGGTCTATTAGCAGCAGGAACTTCTCCGAGGTGACGGCCTCGTCCTCGACGAGCGTGTTCTCGGTCTCGCTCTCGGAGGAGTCGCGGTCGCCGCGGCGGGCGGACTCCGCGTCGAGGAAGCGCACGTGGCCCTTGGGGCGGCCCTGCGGCGAGGCGCGCGGCTGCGCGTCCTGTATCGGTGAGGTGGCGACGCTCTTGTGCACGGCGATCCGGCGGCCCTCCTCGTGCAGGGCACAGCAGTGGAAGTCGCACTCGTCGGGCGGCGGGCGCGCGGGCTGCTGTGCCGACGAGTGGGCGGCGTGCGCGGACGCGTGAGCGGCGTGGGCGGCGTGGGGCGGCGCGTGCACGGGGGGCGCGTGGGCGCGGCAGTCGGCCGTGTGCACGTGTTGCTCGAGGGAGCCGGCGGAGCGGGCGAGGCGGGCGCGCGCCGGCGCCGGCTCGTCGTGGTTGACGACTGTGATGTGGGGCGGCGGCGGCTGCGGCCGCTCCAGCGACGTCTGGATCACGAGCGAGGGGCGCCGGTCGGGCTTGGCCTGCCGTGACGGCGAACGGGCGGCGGGCGACGGCTGCGGCCGCTGGTCCCAGTGCAGCACCACCGTGACGCGACCCTTGTTGTCCATGATCTTCCATGAAGGCGTCTCATCGTGCAGCTCGAGAGCGTGGATCGTTTCGCATACTATCTTCGGGATTGCCGATATCGCTGAAATTGGATGATTATGTTTTCAATTAGCAAGAAGCTGTATTCCGAATTTAATATAAAATATTTTGTTTTCAGGTGAATAAAATCTCAATTAGAATTTGACGGGCCGATTGGTACGAAAATTGGGTGTTTCTAGTTCCTGGATGTTTATATATCCTTTAGAATTATAGTGAACTATTTAAAAAATATCATTTTTGGGAAACTTAAAATAAAATTTATGCTCTTATGTATGACATGTATTTATTTACAAAAAAAAAGTATGTTTATCAGTTAGCTAGTGCCCATAGCTTTGTTTGGGATTAGAAAAAGTTGTGTAAAAATGTGTCCTAAAACATTTAAATATTTATTTAATATCTTGTTTGATAACGTTCAATGTTATGTTCTTATTATAACAATTTTAAATAATTTTATTATAACACCGTCAAATATTTCTAAATTGTCTCACGCGTGAACATGTAAAGTGAAAAGAAAGAACAATTTACAGATGAATCGTTCCAACCCTATTTTTTTACTTTCACAATCTTTAACTTGATTGCAAACACATACAAACTCATCCCAAACATGAACACACCTTTATTGATTCAAGCAAGAAACTGGAGGCGAGCTGTCGGCACTTACCGGCCTTGATGACGTCCACTCCAGTTGGGTACCATCGCTCCCCTGGCCGCAGCAGAAGCAGCACTGTATTGGGCGGAAGCGTCCGCCAGTACTCGCCGTCCTCGACCTGGGTGCCGTCGCTCTCGAGCACCAGCCGCACCGGCTCGCTCGCCGCTACCGATAGCTTCTCCTTGCCTGTTCAAGACCGATCATCACCATCATCATCATTTTGCAGCACACCCACTGCTACATAGCCCTCCTCTTTAATACCAATCATCGCCACTATCGCGTTTTGCAGCTAGTTTGAGTTCACTGCTGAACATAGCCCTCCTCCACACCAAATACCAAACCAAAGATTAATAAATCCAGCCGAATACATTAGAAGAAAATGATCAAACTGTGTTTAGTTTGTATTACTAGACTATTTTTGTAAATAGGAACATATTGAGTAAATAATAACTCTATATGAAGTCAAGGAAAACTAACTTAACAGGCAAATATGTTATTTTTCTCGAAAGTTAAACGCTTTTTAAGTATTTTCGTAACAAATAACAACTTTTGAAATAATTGTAAATGTCGGAACAGTGACAGCTTGATGCTCTGGAGACCGGAAAGTGGAGTATGCAAAAATAAACATAGGTGTGTATTGTACACCCGCGTCGGACGCCGGAACAAAATGTAGAGACAAAAGACTTCTTCTGAAAGTTCAAGGCCAGAAGCAAGTGCCTAAGGTTGAAGATTAAAATAGATGTTTCTTGTCACTTTTGTTCTAGTCGTATGCAGAGACACGAGCATCGTTTTAAAATAGTTATTTAAAAAAAAAACTTTTACCACTAAACGTACACCCTTCAAGAAATAACGTGAACACAAAGTGAGAGTTTTTCCCAAATACACGCATTCAAATGTAAATTGGCAATAATAATATCAGTTAACCACGTTTCAGTGCCATCTAATAACAGAGAGGAGTAGGAAATTGTGCCACCCAAAATTATGGGTGGTAATGAAAAAAATTGAGTAAAAATTTGTAGGAAAAAGTACGAAAAGTTTTTCGCCGCTGTGGTTTTTCTACAAATTTTAACGTTTAATCTGAAATGCATGTCTGCAATCTGATGTATCCTTCAAAAAGGCACAATCATTAGATTACGCTTGATCGGCGGATATTTTCCTATGTTATCGATTGAACGACATGCAAAACTAATTGAAAAATCTGATTATAAAGGATTCTTGATTTAGTCAACAAACGATACCGTATTTAGAAAATAAAAAAAGCGTTTTTTAACATTCATTTCAAAAATGAAACTTCAAGAAAGAGAACTTTAATTAAAACGCAAAGTAAAATCCTTTTTCGACGGAGACACTTACGTACACTAGCTTTCAAGTCAAGTGCGTGTATGTCGGTCACAGCGAGCGAGAAGGATGGCAGCCCCCAAAGTGACTCATAAATGTAAGACAGGTTTAATAGAAAAGGAGATGTGAAAAGAAATTATGCCACGACAGCATGACGACCTGTGGTCTAGCTAAGAATCGGGACGTGAAGCGAAAAAACCGGCCAAGTGCGAGTTGAACTCGCGTACAAAGGGTTCCGTACTATTATCTATAAAAACGCCAAAAAAATAAATTGAAAAACCATGTCATGGGAGCCCTACTTAAGTATTTTTTATTCTGTTTTTTTAGTATTTGTTGTTATAGCGGCAACAAAAATACATCATCTGTAAAAATTTCAACTGTCAAACTATCACGGTTCATAAGATACAGCGTGGTGACAGACGGACAGGCAGACAGCGGAGTCTTAGTAGTAAGGTCCCGGTTTACCCTTTAGGTACGGAATGCTAAAAAAATTAAATGACACATTTTCAGATTTGGTGGTGGGTGACCTTAGTCCTTGCCATTAATAGAGTTACATTGCTACCTATCTATCTATTATATCGGTCTATTACTTATAAATTTCGTTCAAGTCTCCCTGGTTTATAAATAAAACATACAGGCATATACTTACATTCAATAAAATATACTAAACGATTCCAGTAGACATGTATTTAATGAATGCGAAAAAAGAATGTAATAAATAAATATTAAGATCCAATCAAGCGAAGCGCAAGGCTGGGTGGACCAGGCCGCCGAGGATTATGGCGGAAGGGAAAGAAACGCCGATTGTGCGGGTTGTATCGAGGAGTATCTACGTTTGAGCTCAGAGCGATCCATCACCAGTCGCCTCAGACGTTCAGAGAGGCTGACTGGGATTAACCCATTCGCAGAATCGACTACAGGTATAATTTCGGTAGGCGAAAGGTAGGTAGGTAGTTATGGTAATGCTCACTGAAAATAACGCCAACTTAGCCGGGTACAACGGGTCAACATGACATCTGGTCTGTTCGCGGGAATCAGCCTGCCTGATGATGGTTCGGTCCTAATAGGAAATTCCTTTGGAAATACAGCATCCTTCAGAATGAAAATACTAACAAAATAATGTATTGTTTTAAAGATGATTAATTACTAACTGAGTGTTATAGTATTTTACGTCATTTCTTATAGAACAAGAATTTTCCTTCCAAATGTCTTATACATTTGGATAGGAAATTCTTGTTCAAGGAAAAATAACGTAAGTATACTTTAAAATTTGTGTAAAAAAATGAAAGACGTAAGTTTTTTTACAGTTTTTATAGCTCGGTCGTTTTTGAGAACGGCGCTTGATCAATGGTACCGTAGTACTGAGCGAGCCTAAGATCCTGGCTACTAGGCTATTTCTACGCAGAAACTCGAGAATATAAAACATAGAAGAACCGGAGATAACGTGTCGAAGTGAAGTTGCCGAAGAACCATTGGTCGAATTGACATACGGTAACACGAGATTTATCTAGGTGACACCAGCTAGTATCTAAATAAGACTATTGCGTTGTCGACTACTTCTAATACCTCTTAAACAAAAGAATCCCTTCCAGCGTATATTATATAGGCTGTCATCATCATCAACATCAGCCGTAAGACGTTCACTGTTGAACATGGTATGTCAAAACGAACGACACTTTTGCCATTTGCATCTACTGGTTGCCTACTGGTTTAGAGGGAGGCCTTCCAACGCTATATATATATCGGCTATAAGATGTAAAGACTATTTTGCACTTACCTCTGTGTATTAATTCCTCGAAGCTAGTGACGACCAGCCCCTTTCTTACGTTCCGAGAGCTGTCCCATATCTTGAAAGGCCTCTTCCCTCTAACCTCCTGCGGGTGAAAGGTTGAATGTTAATCATAAACGCTATTTCCTTTAATTCAGAATGTTACAAATATATATGTACACCATAAAAATGCAAAATATATTTTCCGCATATTATGTTTTGTCCATGCAATAATTACGTATGTATAAATTTTCGATTATGTGTATTTAGGGTTTCTATTTCCACTGTTCATAATGCTCGCATATAATGGACATGATGATTTCAAGATCACCCATATAACACTAATGAGACTAATGACAAAGCGTAAGGGTCATGCATAAATGAGCATTAATGGTGCGCCACGGCCGCTATTCTTATACGGCGTAGCGTCTACGGTGGCTACGGATTCGTAGCATGTAGCCAGCCGTAGCGCATATCCAGTCGTAGCGCCTGCACTGGTGCAGCGGTGCAACGCCCCTGCGACCTGCGCCCTCGTCCGCCCAATGACACGCCCCTCGCTACGCACTGTGCGTTGACCTACTGACATCGCTACCCTGCTCGATCTTTAATCTCAAATCTATCCAAAAATCTCTAATGAAGACACTCTGAAGACACACTTCGCATCAATTGCATGTCTCACTGACAAAGTAATAATTTGGTGCAAACAATTTTTTTGTTCAAACATTTTTTTTCAATAACAATTTTTATGTGCAATATAAAATTCTGAATTCATATACTGTGTTTTATGGGTCATTAAATTTATGTTCTTGAACGGTTAGAGTTTTATAGCTGTGTTCGTTAAGTTATTACCATGCTCTAGTAGTTACGGTTGATGTCAATAGATGACAGGGATGTTTTGTACACGGGTATGGCGTGAAAAATGTGGCGAGTAAAAAGCAGTGGAGCCGAAATCATTTTAATTGATTTTGCTTTCTTTTAAAAGCGACTGCGGTCCGAAAATGCGCAATGTCCACTATGCAGCTAATAATGCTTGCTTCTAAAACGTCATTGTAAAGTTACCTCCTGTATTTCAACAATCATTTTCACCAAAAAAAAAAATCACTTCACTAAATTCGTTAAGGAGCCACTTTCACCACAGCACTGCAGTCTTCCTAAATATCTAACAATGTTATAATTCATTATAGTCTTTCAAAATTGAGCTTTACGGATATATTTCGAGTGGACTCGAAAGAATCGTGTTAGAACGATACACTTCAAATTTGTAACAAATTAATTGATACGCTATTAATTGATACATATACAAGCATCCTAGCCCCGAATAGATGTTTCAAGTGATACAGACACATGAGACGTGTTATCCGAACGAAACTAAGAAGAGACTGTACAATATCCCTAAACACACCCTTTCACGTAAGCATCACGGGCTATAATCGAATAAACAATTTTACACGTACCACACTATTGGCCATAAAAGTGGGCACACGGAATATCGCACGCGTAAGGCGCTACGGGCCTTTACGTAACGGCAACACGGTCCAACCCGCACGGTGGTTCGACGGGATTTTCACACGTGGTGACTGCGCTAATCGTCTACGTTGATGGTGTATTATGGGGGGTATTTTAATTGAATACAAATCGGATTAGAGGTTGGTGGGCGGGCGGCGCGGTGCGCGCGGGCTAGCGCCGCGGCCGCTCTGTCGACTCATGACTCGCGACTCGTGACCGGGTCGCGGCCTCCCCTCCCCCCGCGCCCCTCCATCGCAGCGCCCCCCCGTCGCCCTCGCCCCTGAGCCCCCGCACGCCCGCGCCCTCTCCCCGCAGCCCGTTCGGCCCCGAGCCCGCACTGCAGCGCCCCCCGCACTTCCCGGACCCCGATGCCGTAACGTCTTCGGAATTAGTAAAGCCGATGATGCACTTTCGGGGCAGCTAAATTCTGCCAGGTCTCCGACTCGAAACCATTGTAATTAACTACAGAGACACGAAGAAACGGTTTGCCCGAAAAGACGAAATTCAAACGTACACTCTAAAGTGAAATCGATGTAGATGTGGTCTCTTGATATAACTATTACGCATTTCGAATTATTGGGTTGGCGTTTTTCGTGATTAATGTTAAATTAATGATTTCATAATATTATTTTTTCTTAATTTCCCTCCAAAATGTTAACTAACTTGGCTTACGCATCTCATTTCTTTATTTTGTAACCTGTGTTCGTTTTATTTAGTAGGCAATAGCAATGGCCCAATTTGCATAGTTCATTGACCCGAATGAAATATAGTCCAAGGTTTATGGTTTTCGAATCCGTTGAAAAACCTCTATAAGATTAAACGTCAATAAGAATTGTGTTTTGATGTTATTTAATTGTTCGAATAATAGTAGAGTTTAATTTTACTCATGGGACAATTTGTATGTAAATTAAGTAGTGCACGTTAGCAAAACTAACATGTACTCAAAATGTAGCGTAATGTTATTATATTCACTATACTCATAAATATATTAATGTTTGTACGGAATAACTTTCATGAGTGAATTTCTTTATTCGCCATGCCGTGGAGAAAATTTTACTTATTTATCAAAATTATTTACAAAAAAATTATGTTTGTCAGTAATCTATAGTATCCATAGTACAAACTTTGCTTTGGGACTAGATAACGTTGTGTAAAAATGTCCCGAAATATTTATTTAAATAATGATAAGTAAAGTCGAAAAGTCATCTAAAATGTTCACATACGACGTTATAGAACGCCACTGGACTACGATTAAAAATACTTATAAGATACGTTCCATCCAATATTCATATATATTTAATATATTTAATATTACGTTTTTAATAAATACATTTATATCACTACATAGTATAAAACAAAGTCATCCCGCTGTGTCTGTCCCTATGTGTGCTTAGATCTTTAAAACTACGCAACGGATCTTGTTGCGGTTTTTTTACTAGATAGAGTGATTCAAGAGGAAGGTTTATATGTATAATACATTGCGCCCGTGCAAAGCCGGGGCCGGTCGCTAGTATGTTTTAAAACAATAGCATACTTTAACGTAACCCATTTCTACGCCGTAGCGCTTTATTAGCGTTGGCGCGTAGCTACGTCGCTGTTATAATAACGTGCTGTCGTAGTTATTTCAAAATCATACGCTCAAAGTGCAGTCGGCCTGGACTCTTATTGATATACGATTTTAACAAAATATTAGAAAATCTTCAATGTCAAAATTCTATTAGAGTGACTAGTTTATTAGCAATTTAACTGTGTTAGGTCCACGCAGCAGCCTCGGCCGTTACACAAATGGGCACGCTCGTCCGGGTAAGTACCACGACCTCACAGAAAACCGGCGTAAAGTGGAAGTATAATAATTTCGCGTTTCGTCTGGTGAGTGAGGCAGCCGGAGCCCAATTTTCAAAAGGTTGGCAACGCACCTGCAACTCTCGGGTGTAGCAGATGTCCATGGGCGGCGGTATCCACTTAACATCAGATGAACCGCCTGCTCGCTTGGCAACTTGTCACATAAAAAAAAAGATTGCAGTAAATAGTAAGATTGACTCTACACCGTTTAGCTAAATCGATCAAGACTTTCGGATATCGTTATTTCCATAGCAAAGCAGTGGGCGAGTGCACGTGGGTGCACGTACACGAAGTAATTACCCCTTATCAGAGCCATGTTGCTCACCAACGCCTACTTAGCACATTAATCCTAAACTGAAACAAAACAGTCTTCAACGCTCGACGATAATTTCTCAAGAATGTTGACGCCCAAAGATTGAAATAACTGAAAGTTGTTGAAGACACAACAGCTAACGCTTACATAAATATATAACGCTTACTGTGTAATAATAAGGCAATTAGCATCCAGCAAAATTTCGTTTAAATTTTTGCTTTTTAATACTAATAAAAGTTTGCATTTCCATGATGTTCATAAAAACAAGCAAATGCAAAAATAAAGTTAAATTAACAAGCATAGGTTTAATTGGAACGAAGTTCCTTATCGCGCGTTGTGAAAGGGGGCTAGACGGAAAAAATTCTCACGAAAAGTTGTAACGACACTTTTTGCTATAGTAAGCTATTGTAAGCTGTGCGGCGTGCGCATGTTTCTCTGTCTGTCTGTCTCTCTCTCTCTCTCTCTTATAGAAAGCAAGCCAGATATTTTCATTTCTATTTCGCATTGAACAGTGTGGTGTCGCGACGATTATTTTTGTTGAGTGTATACAGGTTTTTTGTACATAATAAATAATAAATAATAATAATAATAATGAATTTAAGATATAATTAAATTTTATATGGTCAATTTATATAATTATATATTTTTAACATTTTATTACAATTCCTTCACTAATTATTCGAAAGGAACTTCGTTCCATCCGGGTGTCCCTTGACACCTCTCAATTTTTCTTTTTAATTAGTTCTAAAGCAATTAAGCATTAATTCGGGTTAGTTATAGTTTTTACGTTTTAATAAATATTTTTAATTAACTTTGACTAATTACATGAGTAAGTTACCAGTTTACGGATTTTATTACGTTTTAATTTTGATTTTTATTCCTGACGTTTCGAACCCTCTCAGCATTCATGGCCACGGGACAGACTGACGCCCGGTTTCTTATACATTGATCATCGTAGAAGTTAACTCTTCAGCTATCAAATGGCTTTTCAAATGTTATTTGAGTTGCCAAAATGATGGTTAACTCTCTGAATTGAATAGACTAATCTTCTAAATGATGTCTCAAATTACTAGATTGTTGTGTAATAAATTATGGTATTACCATGGAACCATAACACACACTTTTTGACATTTATCTATAATTCTAAGTTATTAAAAAAGTTATTTTTCTTTTATTACGCTAAAGAAGTATAGCTTCTTACGTGCGTACTTTAGTGTACACATAATTATTTTTATTATCATTTATTATTCTTTAACAACTGTATAACATAAACTTATTCTAAACAGATCGAATTTACGCAAAATGTTCCGCGTTTTATAACTGATTAATTTTCAAAAAAATTTCAGGTGCTTCTAAAAATTGTATATGTAATGTACACATTTATTTTTGCCATATCTTAGGTAGATTGGTATAGAACGAGTTTGTGTCCGGTAATAAATTAGTGTAAACGTTTTCCAAACGTGTATTTTTCAAAACGTGTTCCAAATTGAAGTCCAGTAAAATTTACCCAGATATTAATGTTTACTTAGAGCAAATTGGATAAACTTTGTTTATTATTGTATTTATTAGTGACTTATATACTTACTTTTTGTACGACTTATCATCAGCTGTGATATTAGTTAACCTACAGACAGTTTGTAATGGAAAATCAAAGAATCTTATAATCCGCAACGCTATTCGTGTAATGTTGAATTTTGCTGAAATTTTAAAACAGCCGTTTACCGACGTCGGACTCAAAGCGAATGGAATCCGGTTGCAGATTTCAAATTAGTTCCTCCGTCGTTTCAGTTTCAGCTCTCATATAATTGCATTCACATTCAACGTCCGTCTGTCCCTCTATCTTTGAAATTTTACCACGGAAATGTTAAATCTAGATTTATATTTAATTTAGGATGTAAATTGATACAGGTTACGTGTTCGAATTTCGTAGTGTAGCGTTTGCTGACGGCAAATTATATTTAATACTAACTAGGCCTGTCCAAATACCGTTGCTGGTTGACGAATCTAAGATATTCTAATTCATCATCGAACATTTACCTTGCATGGACACTGTAAATCTGTGTTTAAATATTGGAATTTCTAACTAAAAATGCTTTTCAGAAATTTTAATTTTTATAGTGCTAATCTCTGGCCTTAAGATTAAACGTCAGGGCGCGAATCCCGAAGACGCGGCCATAACCTTTTCGTACCTTTTCCTACAAATTTTAATACAAATCGTTTTGTTTGTGTTACCATAAATAATATAATGTGCGATAGTGTAAGTTTAGGTCGGGGAAAATATTATGTCTATAATATTAGTATATATACAAGCCCTTGAATGTGGCCTCAAATCATATTCAGAAGATTCCGATTGTTTGTTTTTAATACACGACCGAGTGGAAAAAATTTAGAGTTTGGGATGTGTAAAGTAACCACGTAATTGGTGCGTAGTTATTATACACTGACCAGTGACTAAAATTAGAACTTTTTGCCAGAGTGCCACTGACATGAAACAAGTTTAATATTTTAGCGAGAAATTACAACATTTTTTGATCAAGTTGAAAGGAAAATTAAACAGATTTGAGAAACTGGGATGTCTGGAGTGTAATTATGTGATAAAATATTTCGACTGTTAAATATGAGTAATTTTAGAATTTAATATTACTATAAATATAAAATTTTGAATGTTTAAAAAAATATGAAAGTAATTCACCAGTTTAATTGTTAATAAAGTACTTAGAAGACACGAAAAATTATACAGTGTAACAAAAGAAAATATATACTTAACATGGGGGTTATTGGGAAAAGTAGCAACCATGAACTAGTAGCAAGAGATTTGACAAGCGAGTTTGCGAGAATGTGTTAGAAAGCTATTAGCTACAAGAGCTTTTGTTGAGAAAATCGTCAAAAGTCCCTTTCTTTGAGTGTAAGCATCCATAGACCGCTTCTTGTCTATCCTATGAAAGCTATTTGTACGATAACCGTTAATGCATACACGGATGCTTGTGTAATCCATATAGGCAACCTATCTGTTACATCTCAATAAATTTTCGCTAACTGCTTATGCCAGGTGCCAGTGGCGGAGTGTGCCAAAGCTATTCGAGTATGGATCCCTTAGGGCGTATACCGCATAGAGCTCCTGATCAAGAAGTAGGTTACAGATGATATGTTGCTCTATTTGTTAGTCGTTATAAATCGGTTATGTTGGTCGATGCAATTAAGTGTAACCGTAACAGATGGAGTCTATAGTCAAGTCAGATTAAATGTTACGTTTGGCGTTCTAAGCAAAAATTGTATCGTAAATTTTATTTACAAAATTATGTACTACGTAGGTGAGGCTTTTAGGCTATTTTATAACCTAACACGAGTGAGTGTCCTTGGTTGTCTAACATTATATGAAAATTCCGTACATGCCTCCAGGTTGTTAGGGTTATTCCTCGACATCACTGCGGATTGACTGACTTCACATATCTTCGAAATATTTTTTTGCTACTATCTAAAAAATATACAGGTTTCCGATATTTTGCTTCGCTGAGCACGCGATACGTTAGCAGAACATTTGATCCCAGTTTGCTCGAATAGATATATCGAATTAAAAGCGGGAGCGCGGACATTGAGGTATCCGGCTCAAAAGGCGTATCACAAATCAAATTATTGAATGAAATTTAAGACGCTGACTCAACAAGCGTTTCAAGAACTAACATTTGAAGGAAACCTTCTAAGAGCGCTCAGGCCCAATCGCTCACCAGCGACAGGTAAACGTTATTAAAAGATTCAGATCCTCTTGCTTGGAAGTTTCAATAACTTTGAAAAACAATAGACATAAAATTTTAGAGGTTGTTTTTTATGATGACTAGGAAATAATGTAGGTTTTTTTTATGTCGTACTCTGGGTCCGTGTTTGAGTTTTTACACTAGCTTAAACTCGTAAATAAGCTTGGTGAAACATATAAGTCATTTTAAGTTGATTACGAAAACGGGGTCGCTGGTAAGGTCAAAAGTCATGAGAGCTTGTTTTGTATTTTTACTAACTATCCGACATAGGTGGCGTTTAAAGTACTGATTTCAACAAGCTTTTGATCATATAGTTTCAACGTTATGAACTGTGGTCGAAACTAAGTCAATCAGCATTATTGCATAAGCACATGCGCGGCCCTACCCACAGTGGAGGGCCCAAACCCGTGGGTTCCGGCTAGCACACCGATTCTGCGTTCAATGAAGCTTTAATAGTATCGGGACTGACTCGCAAACATCAGTTAATACAAGATAAAAGGCCAGCATTACATTAAAACAACCTTGCCAATTCGATAGAGCAAAACGCTTGCTTAAGACATTCACAAGACAATTTTCTATTCAATTTATCCGCATTCATCGGCAAATTGGTGATACATTCTGAGGAACCTAGGCAGTAGGCAAGTTAGTATAGGTTGTAACTTAAAATGGTGAGAAAAGCCAGGTGCGGCTAACCTTGCGCGATGTAATCCCCTAAGCCAATCGGTATAGCAAAACACGCTTGCTTTAAGGGTCACAAGACAACGCTCTATTCAATTATACACATTCATTGGCTAATCTATACATGAAAACGTAAAAGATGGTTGTCTCAAAGATATTTGAGAAAAAATATTATCGGGGGGCCTTTATCAACGCAATAGAACCCAAAAAAATTAATTGAAAAAAAAAAATTCTCTGTTTGTGCGTTTGTGCGCGCTAATCTCAGACTCGGCTTAACCAATTTGATTGCCACTTGCACTAATGCATTGTAATAAGACTCACCTAATACTTAGTGTTAGTTTTATTTAAATCTGTTCATAAATAAAAAAAGTTATATCAACTTAAAGAACATAAAATGCTATAATTAGCTACAGCAGAATTGGACGAAATTATAGTTTAGTTAAATATGAAAACGGCATAACAAACATGTCTGTTTGTATGTGAGCCCTTCTTAAATATTTTTATAATGTTTTTTAGTATTTTTTGTTATAGCAGCAAAAGAAATACATCATCTGTGAAAATTTCAACTGTCTA